TTTTTTTTTTTTTTTTGGTACCAGGGATCGAACTCGGGACCTTGCACTTGCTAGGCAGGCGCCGGAACCACTGAGCTAAATCTCCGGCCCGGCTCTTCATAAATTTACTCTTTAATAATTTTTGAAAGGTTAATAAATAGCAGAATAGTCATTAGAGTGATAGCAGAAATATCATGACTTAGTCACTTACAAAATTTTCCAAAAATCTTATTAGCAAAAAAGAACAGAGCAAAACATAGACATTTATATAATTAACACTTTATATGGGAAAAGCTTTGATGTTTTAACTTTAGTAACTCTAGTTAATTTTATATGGAGAAATGTTTATGATTATTCCAAATTTAGTTATAGTTGAAAAAGATATATGACTGAAGGTTTCTATTATTATTATTGAGAGATATGTAGAATCATTAGTATGTAGTATGTAAGATATGTAGAATCAATAGTTCATTTTCTTAAAGCTAATCATTAATAAAATATATTTGAATATATCACTTCATGAAATTTCATTAACTCTTATTTGAAAATAACAAGAATAACAATAAACGCTCATGTAATTGACAATACAATCCACATCAACCAAATAATTGTAATTGTAATGATTTTTTCATTGGCTACACTCTGTAGCAACAGAGCAAATAAAATTCTTTTATTTGAAGTAATTTACCTTAATCACTTAAAAATGAAGCAATAATCATGTTAATTATAATATATGTTTTAATGGAATGGCTATTACTCTATGGACTATTATAATTAGAATGGGACTATTTGATACAATTTATAATGAATCACCAATACAATTGTATTCGGAAGTTTAGTATTTTTTATTCGTGTTCCTCTCTTAAAAGCTGAATATTTCAAAGAGATATCAACATTTAAGCATTTTGATATCATTCTTTTGATACTGGTATTCTTTTATTTCCCTCCCAATTTTTCTTTTCAAGTGTACAAATAAGTGTTAATGTAAGTGCAATACTAAATGCATGTACATTTTACCATGTGACCTTTCTGTAAATGAGTTTGTGTGCTTCTCCTGCCTCCAAATTCATTTTTCCTGATATGTTCCTAGTTATGATGAGATTGCAGGAAGGTTCTTCTATCTGTCTGTATTTATACCAACACTGGCTTCAGTACACTTTGAATTATTCCTATTGAATGTTGTTTTCTAAGATTAGAACAAAAACCTTAAGTAACCATGCAGGTAATATCACTTAGATATCCTCATTTTTAAAAATATTAATTGCAAAGTGATGGTATCTAGTACGTGCATGTAGTGCATATAGATTGAAATGGGGTGGAAATTTAAGGAGCATAAAACCATAGGGTTATGAAGTAGGAATAGATAAAGGAAGTGGAGAGAATTCTTAGCAATTCAAGGGGAGAATAAAGATGCAGAGAATGTATGCAGGGTGTGACTAACAGAAGGCATGATGACCACTGCTACCTTGTGATTGTGTGTGTGTGTGTGTGTGTGTGTGTGTGTGTGTGGAAAGGAAGGAGAGTGTGGAAGGGAATAAGCAAGCACACTCAAACTTTAAAGGAAGGAGGGACATTTTATAAAACTGCTTTAGGACTATTTTTTTTTAAAGATGAGGCACATCAAATTACTTTCCTTCTTGGGAACATTTTCTCTTAATTTTAGCACTAAGGAGCCAACATTTCTTTGTCCCTGTTCCAAACAGAGTAGATACGGAGGTTTCCTATGGCACTCAGAAATTTTGCGTCTTTTTTTGAGCTGTTTGCAATAAATGAATATTAATGCCTTTTGATAATACTTTATTATATTTTCTATTCTTAATTGAATTTGAAAAAAATCATTGCAATGTCTTCTCTCTTCCTAAGTCCTGGCTATGTTTTATTTCTTCATTTATTCTGAGAAGGATTGAACATAGAAAATGCAAAGCATTTCTATTTATTTATAGCTAGTATTAAATTGTCACACAACCATCCAGTGTATTGATTTAGAAAGTTTAATGGAATTATTTTTATATAAGTCATCAGAAAACGATGTGGCAATATATTTTTAATTACTTAACACACTATTCCTTAATTACTTAACCTACCATGTAAGTGTTTGAATATTAGAAAAACTCTTGTGGGACACTGGAGAATAAAGCATTAATGAAGGAATCACAATTTCAAAAAGCAACATAGACATATTTAATTTAAGTTAAAAATTATTTGAAATGTGTTGAATTAATACATATAGCTTTTGAAGCTTGAGAGTCCTTCAATCTCTGGTTCCTCTTTATTTATAAACAGAATTATCAAGCTAGTATTGGGCCAGAATGTTCAAACTTTGTTTTATGGTACCATACTTGTTATTAGAAATACTACTTATTATTGTAAAATGAATTTACAATATATAGCTACTTACTTTAGAATTCCTTCCCTGTGCTTTTGTCTCTGTGATTCCTCAGAAAAGTAGAATATTTTAAGCATTGTTTCTACTCTACCGCAGCTACAACATGGTATTTGTTTCTTGTGTTGCTGATATAGTAGTTTTTATTTTTTTTTGGTATCAGAGATCGAACTCAGGACCTTTTCCTTGCCAGGCAGGTGCGATGCTGCTGAGCTAGATTCCCAGCCCATGATGTAGCATATTTTTTATATTAAAGGAATAGCCTTTTCAAAGGATCTAATTAGATCATTACTCGGCCATTTTTAGACATTCACTCATACCATTAAAATTCACTATATCAGCATATTTTGTGTATGAAAAATATTAATTTATGGGCATAATCTGATGTCTTTGCTCCTTTTCATAAGAGTTATCACAATTTTTAAAAGAGTGCTTATTGCTACAGTCATTTTATAGATGGAGCACTTCTAAATATCAAGCAATTTGTGTAATAACTATAAGCGTGTTTTTTTCTTTCCCTAGTTTCCAACTGTGTTATCATGTTACTAGGTCAGAATTGAATGTAGCTACTTTCATACTTGCATTTCTTTACTAAAATAATGGATTTCTTCTTAAAATAGAAGAAGCACAAAATGTGGCCACACTAACAGTCTAAAATTCTTATTGAATGTTTTTGTTAAAACATAAAATTACAATAAATATGTTAAACACTTATGCACACCTGAATATACAAGATAAATATAGGTAATGTGTTAAACCTAGCTTCTCCTTTATTAACTTAAAATGGGTTTGGGGGCATTTATTTTATTAAATTTTAATATTTGCTTTGGGAATGCAGTATATAAAGACCGCAAATGCCACTAAATTTTGAGACAGGGAATATTTTTGCCATAGATTATTAGAAATTATCCCTTTATGCATTTGAAAATAAATGGAAAATATACGTCTAAGACAAAAATATAGAAAATACGGATGGTGGAATGTCTCAATATTTCACACAATACAACTACACAATACAACTTATGTTCTTCCTAATAATTTTCTTTAGGATTCTTAGTGCGACCACTGTAAATAAAAAAATTTCTAGACATTATTTGTTTTAAGTAACTATTTTAAATTCAAAAAGTAGTTTGTGAACAACTCCAAAATTACTTATAACCTCTGTGTCAAGATCAGTAAATATATATATCAGAAAACATATATTTCCTGTAATATGTAGCAACTCTAATCATATTTTGATTGATATGATTTATTTATGGAAGTATAGGACACTAAATGCTTCCCTTTAAAAAAAGATATCAAAACAGTAAACTAGGATTTTCCTATACCTATTTCTTTGGAAGGATTATCCTAGGTGTTTATTTTACCAAGTGTTCATTAATTTAATTTTCACCACAACTCTATTTGTCAGGCAATAGTATTATTTCAATTGTACAAATAAGGAAACATGGGCTCGGAGACGTTAAATATTTGTCCATTGCCACACTGTTAATAAAGCATGAAGCAGAGATGCAAGTCCAAAAAAGGCCCCAGAGGATCAACTCTCAACCAATGCAGTATGTTTTTAACTTCGCATTTCTATGATAATATACACAATCAATAGATACTTAAATCAAACTGCTTTACAATTTCAACAATACAGAGATATAGTTATAAAATACCATGAAGAGTATCCTCTATGGCTAAATCCATATGGTTCATTAACTTTCTTTCTTCATAATTTTTTTATTTTTGGACTGTGATAAAACTAACTTTTCTCAAACCCTTCCCTTTACCTTTTGTGGTTTTTGCGTCTTTCCAGGCCTCTCT